GGAATAATGGGTGGGTTTCTTAATTGTCCCTCCACCCAATGGCTCATTAAAATTCTTGCGTTACGGGATATTTACCACTGCTCATTTCCATATCATATTCAAAGCATGCTTTTACTCACACTTGTCAATCCTCTTTTTATGGTTTACTTATCCTTGTGTTTGTCATCGTGTAATTCAATCCCCTGTCGTTCTCTTTCTTATTTCTTGTATCACTATGACAGATGTATTTACTTTCACATATATATTGTAATAATCAAATAAGTCCTTCGCTTGCACTCTCCACTATATAAATGTTCATCTTTCACTTTCACACCTTACACCACCATAGCAAATAGGGGCCTTTGGGTTTGGTAGCTTTACGCTTTATCGAGGTGATATCCTGGGCTTACAAGTTCTGTCCTACAATTCTGACGCAAAGTTCAACGTTAATAGGTCTTTTTAATTGTTTTTCGTGGTTGAGAAGGGCATTTGATGAGTTCTAGGTAGCAATGATGTCACATTAAAATTGTGGTCGAATTTTATGTCTACGCTATAGTCTTAAAGGAAGGGTGTTGGTCAGCCTTTTTGCGTTGGTTTTGCCAGGGGTTTCCATTTTTACACTTAGTCTATCGAGATTTCGCAGTCCCCATTCTGTGGACAGTGAGACCTGGTTTTCCTCCTTCATTTGTGTGCAACTATTCTGGCCATGTGTTCGGTCACATTAGAGATAGTGGGAGGAAAACCGTTATGATCGGCATCTGAATAGGTTCAAGTCTGCGAGACAGTGGATAATATATTGATTCATCTTTCTTTAAGAGTAGTGTTTGGGCTAGAAGGACTTATTTTGTCCCTGAAACTTTTGAGTCAGTTACTAGTAAGCGTCAGAGGCATACGATGGTGTGGCTCTCCGTTTGGATGCTTTTCAATACCTTGAGCTATGCCATGACGGGATTGGTTACATTCAGCAAGAAGTAAGCTTTGCTGTCTCTGGTACATTGCCTAGGGCGACGGCAAAGCGGCTGGTTCCAATGTAAGACCTGTTGTAGATAGGTAAAGGGAATATGGACTCAGTAGAACCCTCCTCATTAATCGTTCATTTGGTATCCTCGTGAGGTTACTTTCGTTACCAGTGGGTCACAGCCGCATTTTTACATATGTCAAATGGACCGAGGTTAAAAAACAGACCAGGCTGTACTTATAAGTGGGGCAATTCTTTTTGGTGCTCGTTTTCAGTCTTAAGCAAATTTGAGTGAAAGCGTTGGTCTTGATGCGGTTTAATAAGTTGAATGTCAGTACTTTTTTCTCGAAACATCGCACTATTATTTGAATGACTGAAATGTACTTTGCTTACCATGTGATGCAGTTGAACAGCACTGGGTAGCTGATGAGGCGCTCAACAATATTACTCGATGTTTAGATAAACAAATCTCATTTGAACTATTCTGGTCATTAACGTGATTAAATACGCCAAAAACGTTGCCCAACTTAATCAGATTGGGAATGATCAATTTGTGAGGTTCCTTTTGCATGTGACGGACGAACTCTAGCATTGTAACAACCGCTGAATGGTTTACAAAGATATTCAGTACCATTAGCGTACTGTGAGAAATCTTAATTCGAGGTCTATATGATCGGACAAACATAGAGGGGATGGTCCCATGAACTGCTGGATGTCCGCAAGGTTGCTGTGGGATCATGTTCGGCAGGTCTTACACTTTCTTTGTAATTCACAGTCAAGTGACAGTTAGTCTGAACTCCTCGTCCCTGAGGTCGGTCAGACCGGATGATTGCCTAAATTATACTGGTTCGAATTCTGACCATTTTGATGGGTAATAACGAGCCTTCGAAGGGAATGCTTTGGGCCAAAATCTATTGCCTTTTCCGTAACTAATTATCGCATCCGCTAGAAAGGTTTGAGTGATGATCTGCCTCCCGTGGCGTGTGTTTAACTGCTACAAGCTACTGCAACTTTTATGGTCCGGAAAGGTAGTCATTATTAGGGTTAGTGGAGCCAATAGAAAAGAGCAGGTTTCACCGTTCTCACCTCCCATAATGGGTAGGAACTTTGGATGTTAACAGGGTCAAGGTTGCATGGGAAGTGCAGTTGTAATTGACCAAAATAGATTAAATAATATTTTTTTACACTGCTACAATTTGTTGTTGAAGGAATGCACCACAAATTGAACACAACTATCTGTACTTTTCAAATCCAGCACTATTGGTACGCGTTTTCCCTCAGGCCTTGGGCTGAGCATTGAAAATTTTGTCCTTTTCGGTGTTTCGGTGTTTTAGTTAATTACAAGTAAGTCTAAGAGGTAGGGCTGGACAGTTCATTAATTCAAGCTATTAATCGCGAATAGGCTTACTGAGCTTTTGTTCCCAATATTCCAATCTCATATTTTCAGTTAATAGATGCCTGATCCGTCATATCATGAAGCGATCTTGCTCACCTGACACTGAAACAATTGTTGGACAGAAATCTTAAGTAGGTATTATTGGTATTGCCATTGGGGTACTGGTTGAAAAAGCCAAGCGACAGCTTGTTAGGATTACAAACTGTTGTGATTTTTTTCCGTAATCTTAAACTATCGCCTTGGGATCGTTTTACAGAAGATCAAGGGAGAAATAGGAGAATGCTATTTTCGAGTGGTTCACGTTACAGCCCTTTAAAAAAGTACCTCAAAATTGACTTTGTGTGCTCTACCCTTACTGAATTTGACACAAGGTGAACTTTACTCTTTTTAGGTATCCCTTAAACCCAAAAAGCGTAGCCAGCTCAAAATCAAAGCGGATTCTTCCATGACGCCCTTTCCGATTTGGGGACCAACATTAACAATTATGGGTGCGACAAACCAATAATGTGGCTATTAAGGTTCAATGCAATAAGTACTATGTCTAAATTACTTTATTGCGGATTTCCACGGTTGAACGATTACAATCGAAGCTTCCTATTGGTACACTGTAAGTGAAACCTAGGTACTCTGACGTGCCTCAAGTGTGATTCTCAAATAGTACACCATCAATCGACCTAAGGACCCATCACCACAGCTTAGTGTTTCGATTGCGTTTACAGGTCAAGCGCGCACCATACGCAGATGGTGCCTCGCCGCGACCAAACCCTCGCCACAAAATCCCATTTGTTATTGATGGACGTTTTTTGCGTCTTTAAACCGTTTAAACGCATTTGCAGTCATTCTACTTCCCTACTTCCCGTTTCAAACTATGCATAAAATAAACACCTGATCCCAACAAATGTAAATCGCGTAATACCACTAGGCGTCGCACAATCTCACTAGTGACCCATCAGCCGTAGCCCACTGCCTAAGAAAAGGGAATAAGCCTTCACCATTAATCATCGCACATTAGCTATCCTATATAGATTTCAGACCAGAAAATGATCTTAACAAATAAAACTGCTCCAACACAGTCAAAGCTGACTATGTTACTAACAATTGCAAACAGGCTAACTAAAAACGGCACTCGCATAGTCGAATGTGGTGTGTTATCTTCAAAGTACTTTAGTCTAGCAGAAAAGTAAGATCCGTAAGTGATGAAAGCAATAAGAAGTAACAAAAGTAGATTATTTCTAGTAAAAATAAGTCCATTTACAAAAATTATGACCATATAAGAAAAAAGGAATAGCCAAAATAACAGAGACATCATTAGAAATCGAAATCCAGTTCATCGATTTCACGGATAAGTATATCAGTTTTTCGCAATGCCAAGTCGCAAGGTGTTCCGATGTTTTCTTCGATATTTTTAACTTCCTCGGAAAAGTTATTAGCGCCGGAAAAGATGGAGTAGCTACTTGCGCATAAATGAGCCTACGAAAAACAACAGCCGTCACCGACTAATTGCATGTAGTAATCGGTTTATAAGTAAACATGAACAGGCCAAAAGTGGAATGTCAAAGTAGATTAAACACAGTAAAACTCGAATATGAACATACACAAAGGGCTTCATTAAGACAAATAACAGCACCAATTTTCGCACGAGCCGTATTTGAGTCAACATCCTTTACCAGAGCTTTGGCAACTTTATTAGCAGGATTGCTGTATCTACCGCCTTCAGTCAATCTAATTACAGAAAAAATGCACCTCTGAAAGAGAGCAATAGTGAAAGAGCGGGAAATTAAATGAGTGATACAAAAGGAATCGACTCATTTAAGACGTTAAGTGAGTAGAACGCACCACATCGAGAGAGAATACAAGACATGAGCAAAAGAAATGGAATTAAAATTGGGAAGCTTGGTCGCATCACTTGTGGAACCACAATGCAAAGTCGAAAGGAAACTGTCTCAGGTCGAGGACTTAATAGGTTGCTTCAACGCGTTTCAAGATAATGCGTGGGCAAAAAACAATGACACAATGACACAAAGAGAACTTCTCCAATACTATTCAGGTGTGTTAGACGAAGTTCAAAACTCACCCAGACAAAGGCTCCATTAGGAATGTTTTATCCAATGCTTCCTAGTGGTCATTCGTACATGCATGAAAACAAACCATATATTTGGCACATCCATATTCCCTTTCTTCCACACCAATGAAATCGCTAAGTGTCGATAGTCCACTGTCGTTTACCATTTTCCTGAATTCATCATGCCCTCTTGCTAGCTCTTCAAAATACGCATATACGAAGACGACCCCACTTACTGCCGTAGCATTCACCTAATCTTCTAGCTACACCAACGCATTTCCTTGCATTTAACAAGATTCTGAAGAGATGACCCTCACTTTTTAGTAACACATTTACTTGTCATAAGCATCGTCCTCTACGAAAGCCATCAGCACCGATACCTGCCAGGCAAAACCCAGTTCTAATTGTTGATAATTTTAGATTGATGTATAGAAACAAGGCATTCATCGCAATCCTTTGAAGTCTAGCCTATATATTTTACAATAACTTTGGTTAGAATTTGCAGTTTAATGTATAATATTTACACTGCTCTACCTTTACAGGAAAACTTAAACGACCTTTAAAGCCTGTCTCGCCGCTGAAATTGTCGCGCGGCCTCGCTTATCATGGCGGGCGTCTTAAGGTTCTTTCGGGGAGTCACAAAACTCTGTTCAATTCGTGGGGTTTCGGAGAACGTCTGTCTTCGGTATACCCACTTTAGTGCAGCTGCTGCAATGTCATCATTCCAACATATTGACGCATATTTCAAGCTCCTAGATAACTCCTTTTTGGAGTTTTCTCACCTCCAGGCTATGTATGAACTTCTTGAGAGTCCGTCTATTGATCCTTATTTTAAGATGAATTTTTGGTCCAAGTTTGTTTTGACATCATTGGCATGTGGTAAGGACAAAATCGTGAATTCACTCATACTTTTCATACTGGAACGGTCGGACTGTCACTCAATTGCTACATTGATAACCGTTCTTAAAGCCCTTGCCCTACAAAAGCGTTTCAAAGAGTTTGAGTCCTTGTATGCATTGGTTATGTCTCGTCTATCTCCAACTGATGTCTATGTTTATGCTGCCGACGTGTCTGCTGCACTTTGTCTCACCCCCTTCTACAAAGAAGCGAGAGGTTTTCTGCATATGAACTTTGAAAGGAAAGTCCCAATTGAGACTTTTGGTCATTTCTTGTCTGCGGCGGCAATCTACGGTCCTTTGGACGAGGTCATATCTTTTATCTACGAATTGCATTCCATGGGACTCAATCCTACGCAAGATTTCTACCCAGCCTTCATAAAGCGTTTACAGGGTGATGAAGGAATGCATTATATGACCTCTTTACTCGAAGCAATTAGTAGCTGTCAGTGCATATTATCGAGTTCCACTGCCCTTCTCTTGAAAGACTGGTTTGAAAAGTAGGGAAATTTTTTCCTAACATATACTCTAGTCACGGATGGCGTGGGACAATGGGCGTGACTTTGACAGGGTACGTCAACAGCTCCACTTATGTCTTCTAGAACTTCGTGCAGCTCGTGCTTAAGACGCCTCAAGGAAATACATGTTGACACCATCACCTGCTCCCAGTTGGCTGAAAGGTTCTACAGCTCTGTTCTTAAAGTGTTCTTCCTTTCAGTTGTCCTAATCTGAACTTTACTTAGGGGAGGAATGCAGACGAGTTGCTTCTCACAACTACTCCAGATGAGCTCGACTCTTTTCATGCATTCTTGAAAACCATCGATTGTCCTTTTGATTGCGTTATTGACTTGCCTAACTACTTGCACACCGTTTCGAATAGAAAGTTACATTCATTGTCAGTGGAAGGACAGACCAGCTTGCTCTCGGACGTAGGCTGAATCGCACCATAATATTGCCTCTCTAGCTTATTTTCTCACTTCATCGATCTTACCACTTTAATCGCATCTGTTTGGTTGGGAAAGAGCGCGGCATCGTGAAGAAGAAATACTTTTGGAATGTTGTAAAGGCCCTAGGAAACCAAACAGGAGTCAATGTTCAAACATTCTTGACTAATCACCGGTAAGGTTTTGTTGATTTCACAAGTCCCCATGGGTGTTAATATTTTATTGTTTTCGGTAGCAGATGCGACTCGGGCCTTCTTTTTTCAACTTTCTTGTACAGGAGCAATGACGATGCCTTTATGATATACCTGGCCCTTTGGTCAGGTCCTAACTGCTACCTCTTCTCTAACGACGAGTTTCGCCAGCACCGTTTCACTCTGGGTACCGATGCTAGTCCCCTGCTGGCGCGCTGGCAAGCTGCTCGTCAAATTTCTATGCGTTCCACACGTCCCCTCATCTTCCTTGTAAGCTTCTTCCAGTTGTACCACTCCCTTGTCCTCGTTTATCGATTCATCTTGAGTCTTCATCTGTTATTTTTGGTTGCCTTTTTCTTTATGTATACGATTTGGTCACCGTATGAATTTTCACAGTTTAGGAAATGTCTTGGGCTTAGACATTCGAGACGAAGTTGTTCTCTTTTCACTCCTAATAGTTGCTTCTGTATCATTCATCTCACTCTGTGTCTTATTGTTTTATTTGCTGACATTATTGTCTAGCTTTAAAAAAGAAAGGTTTTGCAAACCAACAGTCTTGTGAGCATTAACTTATTTAGAATCTTGGTTTAGCCCTCAGTATTGTTCCTACAGCGCATTTGTTTGTTTATAATGCGATATTATCTATTCGCAAGTCCTTTGCATTTGAAACATCTTGTGTTCCCATTATAAAGTAAAAGTTTTAGTAGCATATCCATTTTTTCCTTTGAAGGCAGTTTTCACAAATGCGAAGCCTGACTTTGACTTTTGTTGCTTACTTAGGGTCCTGCCTTATGCGATCCCACTATACAGGGGAGCATGACGGAGGGTTGGCACATCCCGTATGAATCTGGAGGTCAACGTCCTTCCTACTTGCCCTCAAACACCTGGCTTTGCCTCCGTCCCTAAGAGAACTGCTTACTTTTAATAATTTAGTAGCTATTGTTGAATGTACAGTGCATGTATTGCTCAATTGGAGTTCCTACACATTTTACCAAGCACTGCGGTGACCACCTCACTTTTGTGTGCAAACTGAGATTCTCTGCTTTTACTTGCCTCTGTTGATCAATATTAATAGGGTTGTGTGTGGGCATGTGTTGCCAGTGCATAAAATCCACTTTCGAGGTTGCCTCATTGTTAATATTTCACCCCTCCATATGAGTATATTCGTTTTGCAGTTAGAATATGGAAAATGCCTGCTCTATAAAATGTTGTTTCAGTGTTTAGCTCGTTGTGTATGTTGGTCCCTCAGTGCTAAAAATTAGTATCTTGTTGGCGATGCTGCTAGCATAACCTATAATCAGGGTTTGCCTCTGATCGTTTTGTGCTCTACGTAGGTGATTTTCAAAAGTCAATAGTTCCAGTGGATTTTCCTCCGCTAGACGAAATTCGGTTAGGACTCTTCATCACATTGCACACTAGATTGTTCTCGAGTGAAGTACTTCGACCATCGGGGATTGTATACGCTTTATCAGACTGCTTGTAATGTGTGATTTGTCCAAAGCTTCAAATATCGGGACTTGAAGTAGTTCAAACTTCTGCGTTAGAAGTGGGCTCTTCAACCATTAATAAATGTATACATAGACAAGTGCATAGATATGGGAGCGCACGAGGAATCTGCATAAAGATGGGGAGCAAGTATTTGATGCTTGTTTTCGCGTTCATGGGGTCAGTGTTGGTTTGCGATCAGGGGGAAGTGCCGTGGAATTGCTGGAAACGGACGGTGCTGGTAGACTCTTGGGTGAGGAGGCGGAAGCCTCATCGACAGAGCCGTCCAGTGATGAGCCAACAGGACTGTTCCATCCCTGCGCTGGTTTCGCTCCTCGATCGCCTCTCGCTTGAACTTTCTCACCTTCTCCCAACAATGAGTGAGGAAAATGTGCGATTCCAGCTGCTAGGAAACTCAAATTTTCAGGAGCAAGTGTACTCTGGGGACTCAAAAACGTAAGTAGGGGTGATGGTGGTAGGTCTCTGGTGGATGAGGCTTCTGTTCTTCCGATTTTTTCCGCGATGAAAGAATTCATTGTGGCGAGAAGATTATCTCGAAGTTGGGAAAGAGACGGTAAGTGGGCGTTGGGGAAAAGGGAATTAGCCGGGGTCTCAGAAACTGGTGGTTGTGGGTCGCGAGGCGGTTTCATACCAAGAAGACGCGGAATCCTAGAAAGAAGCTGTGCTCCAGCAACAGCTGGTTTGAACCAAGGCCCGCCGCGATCCCATGAAGAGTCAGGACAGAGGTACAGCGGTTCCTCTGGCCCCTGACACTCAGCAGGGCGAAGGCGCGCATAGAAGTTGAATATTTCGACACAATCAAATGGGAGTACCTGGCGTTTGGCACTGCCATTGTTGTTGTTGCTGCTACTGCTACCTTCGTGACCATCAAAAACTCTCACACCCAAGGGTCCGCCATGACCGTGGCAAAATCGGACTTCCTGTGGGCCCGACCTTGAGATGAATCGCAGAAGATCTTGTGAGTTCACATTTGTGACGCACTGGAATTGGCCCCACGTCAAGGTTCGATGTTTCTGCGTTCCCACCACGTTGAATTGTGTTCGTAAGATTAACCAAATGCTATTTAGCAGCGCCTAGATATGAAAGTAGACTAACGGTCAAAAATCGAATCTTAGGGTTTTTTCTTATAGTTGAAGAAAGTTACTTGAGGGTTGGCTGGACCCAACAATCCAGTTTGCAAAAGAGAGCTGAAGTTAACCACTTTGTTATTATCATGCGACTCGCTGAAACCGAAGTCGCACTTTCCACCGTCCGTCTGGTTTCTATGCGCATTCGAGTTCCCATTAGCTTGGCTCAATGCTCTCAACTCATTCAATCTCTGACTGAGGACCAACCTTGCAGGCGCAAACTCTGGATCTTTGAGCACGGAGTGGGGGTAGTTGTGGTACTAAAAACCATAGCCATTGAATATTCATTAGCTTTTTGTATTAAAAAGATAACAAACATCGGCAACCACTGAAGTGTGGGTAACAACATTGAACTAAATGTCAGGAATACGGTTTTGTGTTGGGGTAAGAAAAAACGTCTCCTGTTTGCTACACCATTCCTTTGGTGCCGTTTTTTTTCGCACGTTTTCGTAGATTTTCTTTTGTTTTCCCCCTACTAGGACCACATGTCTATATGCTAATTTGTTGCATTATATTCGCAACTGGAAAATGAATAAATGGGACTACATTAATTTATGCCGGAGTCCCATTGTCTCGGTGAGATAATTGTTTTATGGAAGCATTTTTGAGTTTTGTTGAATGGCAAAAAGTTTTGTGTTGTTTGAGGCTGTGCACGAATATTAGCAATAAATAATATCCATTTCCGTGAGAATGTCATCCGAGTGTGCACATTGTGTTTAAGCATCCACTTGTACCATCATTTGCCGTAGCACAGGATAGCGCTAAGCAAGTTGACACTTGGTTCACTTCATGATATGTGGCAAACAGACGCTTTTTCTACTTGGTCACTGAGTAAATAACATTTCCAACGGTTTATGATGGCTAGCTGATAAAAGAATTTGATTAGAGAAACTATTTGAATAAACACCCTACTGAATAGTAAAAGTTAAGAATTTAGGAACAAACTTATTTACTCTTAGTCCAATTAGGTGGCCCTTATTATCCAGGGGTCATCCGAGCTATGATCCCTTACACTGACCTGAATAATGATCATGGGCTTGATGTTGGAAGTTTTACCAATTCAGGAACTTATTACCAGTGGGGTCACCTCGTGTCCAATAACGGAACATAGACCTCTGCATCGATGTAAACATTCATCGCTCTATAAAATTTGTAAATGAAGATCGTACATAGGTGGTCTATGGACTATTTTAATTTATGTGGGACCAAGTTTGTAGGGAGAAGTGGAAATAAGGACGTGGACCTGTATAACCTACCTTCAAGTGCCTCTCAAGCGAATGGACGAATGCTTTCAAAGACTCCGGTTCGTATTCGTGTCCGTCTTTCTTCTTCGCAGTAACGATGAAGTCCTAAAGAGATGGTGGAATTATCCACTTTCTGTCCTATAATTTAACAAGGCTGCTTCAGTGCATAGCATGCCTACCTGGATATAGCTGCAGAGGTCTTGAGGGGGAATCTCATGGATTTCGCGAGTGTCGTTTTTCACCTGAACAAGATAGCGATGAATGACCTTCATGTCGGACTTGGTTTTGCGCAAGGTATTATGTACGATCCCCGGAGGTGCAGCGACGGAAGCAGCAGCAGCAGCACCGACAGTAGTCTCTTCGCCTTGACGCAATCGACCCTCCGAGGGGCTCTTGTTGGGGGACGCCTTGGCAATAGATTCTGGTGACTGATGAGTGGACGACATCGGAGGAAAAACCACCCGTGGCAACAGACCAGTGGTGAGCTGTTGTGGTGGCGGTGGTGGTGGTGGTGGTGGCGGTGGTGGTGG